TGGAATATATATGATATAAACCAACACATATTTAAACTTCCTACTCAGCTACAAAGAGACCTTGTGTCAGTGTACAGGTGCATGGAATAAATATGTCATCCTTGAGAGCTTTGTTTACCAAATGCATTTCTGATGAAAAACAAAAATATACATTTCAGAATCACTTCTTTTGAGAAAGTTGCTTTTTGGACATTACTTTAGTTGATTAATTAACAACTGAAAATGATGGCTGGCGTGGAATTTTCTACCAGGTGGGGCCAGAAGTGCTTGTCACTGACCATGGCATCTTAAGGTGGCACCACTGCAACCTTTGCAGGTTTATATAGATTCCTTTGCTTGACTATTAAATATTTTCATGCTTCTGTTTTATTTCTAAAAAATAGTTATGTTCAGGGCCCTCCCTGGTGGTGCAACGGATTAAAGCACAGCACTGCAAGTGAGCCGCTTCAGCTGGAGTTCGATCCCTGCCCTGGAAGTGACCCACATGGCACAGCGGACCTCTCCTGACACACCCGCTGCTCCCCTCAGCAGTGTACTTTGTCAGTCTGCCTGTTCTGCTCCCCACTGTGTCTCTGGTGAATCCTCTCACCACCCCTGCACCTCTGGCCTGCACCCTAGTTCTGTATGTATGAATAAATAAATATTTTAAAAAATAGTTATGACAACAGTTCTCCTCCTTGGGGTAAATCTTTGAAAACAAAATTGCAGGGCTGTTATTTGGCTTAGTTTTATTTTTCTTTTTCCCTAGTTTTATTGAGAAATAATCGATTCCCCCCACACACACACACACACACTCATCTGATTCTTGGGCTTGGAAATCGAAAACATACAAGCCTGGACATTTGTTTCACTTTATGAAAAACGAAAGTACCATATATAGCATATAACATACATTTAAAACATTAACTTAAAACAAAGGCGCCTGTCTGTAGGTTTAATGGTGTGCTTGTCATGGATTTGGATGGCAGGGATAGCAAGTTCAAATTACTGCTCAACGTACTTTGTCAGGAAAAACTTTTTAATAAGGAAACTTACTGTTAAACATAACGTTTAGGTTCACTTACTTGTGAATTTCCCTCACTTCTGACCCCAGGGTTGTCTACTAAAAATCTCTCCGAGAAATATTCAGAAGTGGAAATTTCCAGACACCTCTTTGGCGGCACAATACAATTGCCCCACAACTAATTTATAAGTAACATTAATTGCTGGTTAGTAACAAGTCTCAGGCTGGAGCCACCTCCCATTGGCTGAAACAGCCCAAAGCCCACCTCCTCTGCATAGCGATAGGCTCCTTGGCGTCTGAAAGGCCGCTCTGTGCAGACTTCTAAACGCTGCTTAGGTAGAGCTCATCAAAGTCGGCGGCATTTCAAAGCCCTCTGCGGTATTGCTTTGGCAGATCTTGCTGCCGGTCGCGGCGGCCTGTAATGCAGGGTGGTTTACTGTAGACCAATGTAGTGACCCAGGGGAGTCAGACCCGCTGGGGCACCCCGCTAAGTCTCAGTCTTCACCTCAGTGAAATGTGTATGCCTGGTAGCCTCTGAAATGTGTGGAAGAGAGAAATGGCCTTCTCTCCGCGACTAACCACAAGGGCTGGCAGGGCGGTGGCGCTGGGAAATGGGAGTGGCAGGTTTTAGAGGAAAGCCCAATGCACGCAAGACTGCTGGGGTGGCTCCAGGATGCGTTAAGGAGGTGCCCCTGGCCTGCAATCTCATTTAATCCTTTCTACCACAGCTGAATTCTTGGAGCTCTCTGTTCCTCAGCCAGAGCAGTCTGAGCCTCAATTTACTCAGCTCTGAAATGGGTAGCATTACAGCAACAGTCAGTGAACGCTTCAGATTTTGAGTATGTATTTTTGGGACATGTTTCTAAGAATTTTAAATTAACAAAAATGGAAACCAACAACCACTTTTAAAATCATTTAAAATTTTGTGGCCTCCCTGGTGGCACAGCAAAGTCTCAACACTATCAAGCTATTCCAGGGCACTGTGGCTTGAGTTTGATCCCCAGCCAGAGAGGTGATTCATGTGGCATGGCAGACCTCTCCTGAACTGCCCTCTGTTCCCCTCAGCAGTGTGTCTGCCTGTTCTGCTCCCCACTCTGTCTCTGGTGAATCCTCTTACCACCACCCCCACACCTCTGGCCTGTACCCCAGTTATTATATGCATAAATAAGTAAATCTTTAAAAAATACACAGTGCTTCTGATGGTTTTAATGTTTGATAATGAGTGAGAAGATGAGGATGATGATAATAAAAACCCAAGTCAAAAGTTCTTCATGCCCTTCTCAGTCATTCTCCTCCACTAAAACTAATCTGGGCCCTCCCTGGTGGCGCAGCGGGTTAAAGCACAGCACTAAGAAGCTAAAGCCACTTCTGCATGAGTTCGATTCCCACCGGCCCCGGAGGTGACCACATGGTGCAGCAGACCTCTCCTGACCTGCCCGCTGCTCCCCTCAGCAGTGTACTTCGTCGATCTGCCTGTTCTGCTCCCCACTCTGTCTCTGGCGAAGCCTCTCGCCGCCCCTGAGCCTCTGGCCTGTACCCCAGTTCTGTATGCACAAATAAATAAATCTTTTTTAAAAAAAACTAATCTGACTTCCTTCACTATGCATTAGTTCTGTCAGACTGACAATTTCATACAAATGGAAGACGACACTACTTCTTTTTTATAACTGGCTCCTTACACTCAACTTCTGTCTATGATACATAGACATCATTTGCTCCTTTGCCTTGCTCAGTAGTCTTCCTTATCCCCTTGCTGTGTTTCTTAGTCAATTCTTTTGGTTGGACATCTGTTTCCAGCATCTTGTTATCATGAAGTAAAATTAATATGAACATTTCATACAAGTTCTGTGTGGACATATGGTCGTGGCATGTGGTACATGGTTCACCCAAAATGATTTTTTAAAACCTTTTCAACTCTTCAGTGACATCATATTAGCACCTTGAAATAAAACATGGTGGGAGTATTTATACCACATTTGAGGAATGCTAAGAATTAGACTTTTTTTTATCCCCCTGAGAACTAGTTGTTAAAGAATTGCCAGCATACAATTTTCATTTCTTTGGAGTATGTACCAGCAGTGAGATCGCTAGATTGCATGGTATGTCTATGTTTAACTTTATGAGAAGCTGTCAAATTGTTTCCAAAGTGGCTAGACAATTTTATACTCCCAATAGCAATATATGAAAGTTACAGTTGCTGCATATTCTCATCAATAGATGGTGTTTCCATCTTTTTGAGTTTAAGCCATTGAATGGTAAAGATACAAACAGGAAAAAGCAATGGGTAGTAGTGGTTATATGGCAGCCCAGTGAGCATAAGTTTGACCTCTCTACTTAGAAGCAGAAAAGCGCTCGATAATACTGGTTGAATCATGTTGCGGCCCCCTCTCTTCCTTGCCTCTTTCCAATTTCATCACAGAGGGATGCTGAGGCTCTATGCATTAATCAATGAGGGGTAATGGGATGCTCCCCTCTGCTCCCCTCAGAGCATGCATTAGCATGTAGTTACTTCAAACACAGCAGGCTGCTCATACTGTTGGGGAAATAATTAAAAATAAATCTTATGCCAACCCAGTGAATCCTCTCCATAAAAGTAGAAATGAACGAAATAGATTTATTATCAAATGAACAATAAACCCTATTTCAATGCAATTTATAAGTAATCCACAAGAGATTGCAGGGACTAAGAACTTTCAGCCTTTTACATAGCCAGGCAGAGACAAATCCTTCCTAACGTGTTCCCAAGAAAGATAACCTGTCCTCAAGTTAAGAAAATTTGTGTAGCGCCATTTGCTACACATAGGCATATCACATGCAGCTAGTAATTGCGGTAGCCATCCACCCTTATCCAAAAGAAAAATGAAGCTCATATATCTTTGACAAACTGGTAACAACTTGGAGCCAGTCGCCTAGCTCGAATTACTAGAGAAGCAGAGAAAAGGCACTGTTTGCATTGCTATTTGCACTTTGGAAATGGTTCCAAGGCCCTTAAAACAGTATGCTTGGGTTGTAAAATTGGCAGGAAGGTTATTTAGCTGTTTTTTTTTTTTTTAAGCCTCGTAGATTTAATAAGGTAACGTTGGTTTAAAACATTATGTAAGTTTCAGGTCTACAGCATTATTATAATTTGGCATCCAAATAAAGAAGATGTGGTGTGTATATAGCACCAAAGAGTGCTTCTAGGACTGGATCCTAGTCCCAGTCACACCAGAGACCGCTGTTATTAAAAGCTATGACTACAGTTTTTTAGAATTGGAAGACGTTGCAAATCATTTAGTTGGATTCCAACCCATTTCAAAGATGGTAAGACTGAAACACAGGAAAACCCTATATGGGTACTTAAGGGTGTGGATCACCCACCCAAAAAGGATGTTTAAGGAGTCTTCGCTCAGATTCTTTAACCTTTAAAGTCGGCGTCAAGTGACCAAAACAAAACCCTATTTCATTCCAACTTGGCAAGACCGAGGTTAAAGCCCCCCAGCACACAGGTTTCTTCTTGACAGAGCCTGCGCAAGTCAGGACGAGCGAACTTGCCCCAGACCCTGACGTTTCAGGTAGCCCCTCCCAATCCGGAACACAACGCGCCGTCCGCCAGTCCTGCCTTGACAGGCGCTATTCTGATCCAATAAGAATAGAGGGCTGAGCCCTGCGGAGCCAATGGTGTAGACATGCCCAAGGGACAGGGGAGGCGGACTCTGCCAGGAAACAAGAAGACAGGCCCAAGATGGAGGCAGCGGCGGCAGTAGCGGCGTGACAGGTGAGGGCGGGCCCGGCAATGTTAGGATTCTGGAGCGATCGCCGGACACCTGAAGGGGGCCGGGACCGAAAGCTCAGCTCCAGGGTGGCTGCGTTTGGACCCCGGCGCATCTGTCCGGAACTAGAGAAGTGGTTTGACCCGGGGCTAGACCATGGTCGACAGAGAGGGGGGGCGGTAGTGGGGAGACAGGGATAGAGGTGTAAGGTCGCGGGGGATGGTTTCGCCCTTCGCGCGTGGTAGCGCGCCTGCGCAGAGCCGGGGCCTCGGTGGGCGGGGCCCAGCCCAATGGGGCCTGGGTTGCGGTGTGTTTTGCCGGGTGTTTCCTCTTAACCTTCTTAGGTATTTCGTGACCCTGCCTTACTAACTCACCCCGGGGAGTGAGTGGAAACGCGGCCCACCCCGTTCTCTCCTTATGGTGGATCAGTTACAAACCAGTGGGAGTATGTTTCGGGATTCTCCCATTACCCCTCATTGATTCACCCCAGCCTCCTTGCATTATCAACCTAATATGTCTGTGACACCCCCTCACACTGGTTGTCATGGAGAGTTTTGGAGCCCCACCACTTTATTATCCCCTTGCATTTCACTTCAGCAGTGTTTGGTGATGCACCCTTAACCTCCCTTTCCCCCGTGACACCATCTGGTGAGCCCAGTTATCCACTCTTGTCCCCACTACAGACCATAGTGACGTTTACATCTCCCTTGAGCATCGTGTCTGCTGCGCCCCTAGGAACTCCCATCACAGTCTGGAGACTCCTGCTAACCACCTAACACATTGTTTGTGGGCCCACCGTCGTTACAGCCTGGGCTTTGGGATGCCCGCAGTGTTCTTGGGAGCAGTCCTCACTTTCTCCAAACTAAGGGAAAAAGCTGATTGTCCTGCCTGTGACTCCTCCCTCACCACGGTATCTGGTAACCCCCTTTGGCACTGAAAAGCCAGGACAGCCTGTTCGTGTCCATCATATGCCTGATTCCCCGGAGCAATGTGCTCGCTGAGCAAAGTATACTCCGGTGCTGCTGCCCCTTGTTTGTTTGTGTCGTCTCCCCTGTCCCTCCCCTCCTGCAGTGAATGTGAGACCTTGACACTTCATTGGAAATTAGGCTACAGTGGGGTTCGTGAAGCCTGAAGATTGACCTTTTTTGTCCCCTGCCACTTAGCTTCCAAGCTATTGTTTTTGGTCCTGTGGATTCCTCCCTTGTCTTCTAGGAGCCCCATGGCACCTGCCCAGCCCCGCCTCAGCCCGTCTTGACAAAGTCCTAGGCTCCATGGAGCCACCACGGGGCCCCTCTGCCAATGGGGCCGAGCCATCCCGGGCAGTGGGCACTGTCAAAGTGTACCTGCCCAATAAGCAACGAACAGTGGTGAGTCTGACAGGGGCAGAAGTGGTGGGGGTGAGGATGGGCCCAGTCGTAAGTCTTGGAGCTAAAGGATGACTAGGGCTGGGAGGAGGCCTTCACAGAAGGATGGGAGAGTTGGCTGGGGTTTCTGTTGGGCACTGAGAACCCTGACATGTGCATACCCATACACACACACAGGTGACTGTCCGGGATGGCATGAGTGTCTATGACTCTCTAGACAAGGCCCTCAAGGTGCGGGGTCTCAACCAGGATTGCTGCGTGGTCTATCGGCTCATCAAAGGGTGAGTGTGGCACCCCTAGCCCTGTGGGTGCCCAGCTTTCTAGCTCTCCTCCGAGTACTCTGACTCCTTCTCCTCTGCCCTGGAGTCTCCGGCAGTCTTCCTTTCGTTCAGAGAATCAGTGAGTCGCTCCAGCCTTTGTTTCATGAGCTCCTTAGTTTACTGACTGTAAGCTCAGCAGCTCATTCTCTCCTCATCCCCAAGGCCTCATCCTGCTGCAAGACTTCCTCCAGCAGTTCACCTAGTTTGTTCCTTCGCTACTTCATTGGTTTGCCAGCCCTCTCCTTTCTCTGTTTCCTCATTCTCTGCTGAGTTGGACCTCCTGCCCTGCCATAGAGTCCTCTGTTCTGGGCTTCATCTGTTGTCTTAATACCTGTCCAAAACAAGCCATCTTTTCGAGGCCGTGCTGAGCACTTCTGAGATTTAGTTATTTACTGCCTCATTTGCTGCTCGACTTGCAGTTAGGAGTGTGGACTCTTCATATCATTCTGCCACTCATGCTCTCCTGCGACCTTGGTAAAGTCATTGTGTGCCTCTGAGCCTCAGTTTCCCCATTTGCAAAATGAGAGCAAGGAGGGTAACTAGTTCCTAGATTTGTTGTGGGGAGAACGAAACATGCCAGAATTTACTGCATGGATGGCATATGAGAGGGATTTTGGGGGCTTCCCTGTTTCCTCGTGGCTCCTGTCCACACTCCCACCCACTCCCTTCCTTCCATGCCTCCTCTAGGCGAAAGACAGTCACTGCCTGGGACACAGCCATTGCCCCCTTGGATGGCGAGGAGCTCATTGTGGAGGTCCTTGAAGATGTCCCACTGACCATGCATAATTTTGTGAGTACAGGATGGATGGAGGGGTCAGCAGCAGGGAGGGGACGAGCCAGGCCTCATCCTTTCCTACTCTGTGGCAGCAGGTACGGAAGACATTCTTCAGCCTGGCCTTCTGTGACTTCTGCCTTAAGTTTCTCTTCCATGGTTTCCGCTGCCAAACCTGTGGCTACAAGTTCCACCAGCATTGTTCCTCCAAAGTGCCCACAGTCTGTGTCGACATGAGTACCAACCGCCGACAGTGAGTCTGGCCTGGGATGGGTGGGGGTGGGGTGGCTGAGGCCCAGTCATAACATTCTCACAGACAGCTGACCTATTCCCCTTGTTCTACGCCCTCACCGCTCTGAAGGGTCTACCACAGTACCCAGGATTTGTCCGGAGGCTCCAGACAGCACGAGGCTCCCTCCAGCCGCCCCATGAATGAGCCACTAACCCCTCAGGGACCCAGGTAGGGATGTCTTAACCACAGGGCTGCTGTTGGGAGAAAAAAAGATCTGAAGGCACCTATAGGCCCCCAAGTCATACATTATTCATTAGCTTACTCAGCAGTTATTTATTGAGACCCTGCAAGTGTGAGTAAAGGGGATGGAGCTGTGGGATCTTGGGCAAGTCACCTAATCTCTCTGGGCCTTGGTTTTCTCATCTGTAAAGAGGGGGAAATGATAGTCCTTACCATGTAGGGTTCCAGTGAGGATCCAGTGAATTAAGATGTGTCCAGATACCATGTGTTACAGAATAAAGTTTTCTTATTAATCATGTATAGGCATAGATGTCAACATAAGGTATAGATATATTAAATATATGGTATGTCTGTATGTATACTATAGCTATCTGGTTTGCTAGTTCTTCCAGTATAAGCAAGCCTTTTCATTTTGGAATACATATTATCAATTTCCTTTCATTTCTCCTTTATACAAAGTAATACAATCCTACAGTATTTCAATATGAAAATATATCAGTGCTCTAAGGTATCAGATATACATTTTATATGCCTATATTATATATTTTATAATGTCTCTAGGGTAGGTTTATATTCTTATGTGTGTTATGCTTACAGTATTTTCATGTAGTATATACACTGTGTAATATATAAAGTAGTAAAGTTAGGACATTATGTTATTAACTGGGGTGTCATTGCCAATGAATTTCATATTAGGTTTTTATTCTAGTTCATTTTAGGACGGTGAGGAGAACCTCAAGAAATATTTTTGTGCCATTTTAATCTAAATCACATATGTATGGCATGATACAGTAACATATAAGTGATAGGTGTATTTTAAAGCTCTCTCATTTTAATATAGCCGACATACTTAACGTGTTCGAGGCCGTAGACTGTGCAGTATCATGTACTATCTTTTCCTACTACCCGTGTGACTTGCTGTCCCTCCTCTAGGTCTGGGCTCAGATATCACCTCTCAGAGAAGCTGTTGACATCACCAGTGACACTTTCTGTCTCCTTATTTCACTTTTGGTTTCCTTAATTGCACCCATCCACCACTGAACATATTAAATAGTCTTTGCTTTTTATTTCTTTCACTCCCTGCTGGAACGTCAGTCCATGAGAGCAAGAACTTTTATTTGTTTTGTCCACAGTTTTATTTCCACTACCAGAAGTGGTATTGGTCATGTAGCAGGCACCCAACAACTGTTTCTTAAGGAAATGGACAATAGTAATGACAGTGGACATTGACTCTGTGTGGGCTAAATACACCTTCCCCACAGGGCAGTGGGAGGGATGTGAGCGGTTCTCCAGTTCCTCGGTCAGTGATTTTGTGGCCTTTCCCCTCCCAGCCCCTGCACCCAGCACTGTGGCCCTGAGCTCTTTCCCTTCCCTGCCCCGGCCAATGCCCCCCTCCAGCGTATTCGCTCCACGTCCACTCCCAACGTCCATATGGTCAGCACCACGGCCCCCATGGATTCCAGCCTCCTCCAGGTTGGTGTTGAGAGGGGCTGTCCCAGGGGTACACTGGGCAGAGGGGAGCGCCTCTCCTGTTGCCCCCCACATCCTCTCTGACACCCTCCCTCCCTCTTCTTCCAGCTCACTGCCCAGAGCTTCAGCAATGATGGTGAGCACCCCTGCCTGCACCCTGAGCCCCCCACCCTGGCCCATGTGCCTCCACTCACATCCTCTCCACCACCGTAGCTGCTGGTGGTAGAGGTGGTGGCGATGGAGTCCCCCGGGGGAGCCCCAGCCCGGCCAGTGTATCCTCGGGGAGGAAGTCCCCACATTCCAAGTCCCCATCAGAGCAGAGGGAACGGAAGTCTGTGTCTGATGAGAAGAAGAAAGTGGTAAGCCCCAGGGGGACCCTTTGAGGGGGGACACCACAGACGGTGTGATGAGGTACATGGGCAGCCCCTGAGATACCACCCATGTGGCCCACAGAAAAATCTGGGGTACCGGGACTCGGGCTATTACTGGGAGGTGCCACCGAGTGAGGTGCAGCTACTGAAGCGCATCGGGACGGGCTCCTTCGGCACTGTGTTTCGCGGGCGGTGGCATGGCGACGTGGCTGTGAAGGTGCTCAAGGTGGCCCAGCCCACAGCTGAGCAGGCCCAGGCCTTCAAGAACGAGATGCAGGTGCTCAGGTGAGACAGCACGAAGGTGCAGAGGGGACAGGCTGGGGAAAGGCCATGCTGGGGGCTTCCTGCACATCACCGGGGCTTGTATTCCTCTCTGACCATCCTCCTAAGTTGTCTCCACATCAAGGCTGCCCCTTTCCCTTCTGGGAAATAGCTATGTGTAGAGGACCTCTGCTGTTATTGTTTGTGTTTGGGTTAACGTAACATGGTCTTCTCGTTGGCCTGCTGTGAAGTGGGTGTGACTGACCGTAGAACATCAGTGGCATTGCATGCACTGGCATGTTTGCTGCCCTGTCAGTAAGGCTGGCATCCTTCTTCACCCCTCCTCCCCCGCTCAGACCGCATCGGCAGTACTGTTAGTTGCATTGCATTCTTGTTACTAATCAGTTATAATAATGCATCAATTAAAGAGTCATAACCATAACTTAGTCATGGTTTGATGATTGCAGTTGCTTTACTGAATATATTGTTAATACTGTATTAACTCATTTGAGCTGAGACACCTTGGTGGTCCCCTTTCAACACTGGCATTACTCTTCAGGGTCCCCCATGTGGCCATCCCCCCCCCCCCGGCTGATGGGTACAATTATGTCACACTGTTAATGTGATCAGAATCCCTTGTGGTACTTTCATTGTATCCTCATAATGGATGCACACAAAGAAGACTCTTACTCTGTTCCTCTCTGTGAAATGCCAATGACTTGAGCGTGCCGTTCACGTGCATGGCTGAACGACCACCCCTGTGAAGCAAGCGCGTTTGCTCTGTTCTCAGTTCTGACAGTGAAATGGCAGACCAGCATTGATGTCATTTGCCTCCTAACCGTAGTTATTACTCCTACAAGGAGCAAAGGTTTTCTTCTATATCAGGGTGGCTCTGTTCCTATGCAATAGTGCCATGAGGTAGGCCCAGCTACCCCGCAATAAAAAGGGAGTGAAATGTCAGTGTTTGCTTGTGTTGGGTACTGTTCTAAGTGCCTTACAGCTGATTTACTCTCCTCCCAGCATCCGTCTCAGGTAGTCACCATATAATTATAATTACTAGACCTCTCCAAGTGATAGCTGGGAAACCTGAGGCCCAAAGAGGCTAAGTGTCCCCCTCATGGTGGCACAGCAAGTACCTGGAAATGCCTGGATTAAGCCACAGGATCTAACTTGTGGCCGAAGCCCTAAGCCCCTCATGACTCATAGCTGATGGTCACATATCTCCAGTATTTGTACCTGGCATCTGTCATATGCTGATGTATCTATTAGGGAGGAAGTTTGACCTTCCACTTTCTTGCCTATAAAATAGTCACAAGCCTGTGTCAGGGTCAGAAGTGTGTGGGTATTAGATGGTGAAGACTCTATTGGTGGCAGAGCGACAGGGCCCTGCTTGTGTTGGGAGACTTGATGAGGAAGCTCGAGACATAAATCCCCAGCACAGAATCATAGCCCAGCAAACATATCATACAGATACGTTGAATCTGACCAGGCTTGCCCTGAGCCTCCCAAGACAGCGTGGAAATGATTATCGAAGGCAGCCGTGACCAGCACCACACTGAAACTCAGAATGTGCTCCACCCCCACCCCTGCCCTCACGCTGCCCTCCCTGCTGCAGGAAGACACGCCACGTCAACATCTTGCTGTTCATGGGCTTCATGACCAGGCCGGGATTTGCCATCATCACACAGTGGTGTGAGGGCTCCAGCCTCTACCACCACCTGCACGTGGCTGACACACGCTTTGACATGGTCCAGCTCATCGATGTGGCCAGGCAGACTGCCCAGGGCATGGAGTGAGCAGACTCCCAGGCACTAGGGAGGGAGCTGGGGGCTGGGGTGGGGAACTGAGGTAACCCCCAGCCAACCGGCCACCTGCTTCCACCCCTACAGCTACCTCCATGCCAAGAACATCATCCACCGAGATCTCAAGTCTAACAGTATCTGCCTGTCCCTGCAGTGGGGTGGGGTGAGGGTCTGGAGCGATGGCCCTAGGCTTTCTGGAGACAGACAGGCAGCAGCACGTGAGGCGTAGTCCCTGTCAGGCAGCAGAGCCGTGGCCAGTGAGGGGCTTTGTGGGGGTCTCTGGGGCAGGAGAGTCAGCTATGACTGGTTCAGATGCTATTCTCGGGGACTCTGGTCAGGATCTGAGATGTTACATTTTGGAGGGAATTCCAAGATGTTTCTGATCAGGTTACGGGAATGGTGGGTCTGGGTGCTATTAGCGGGGCTGCTTGGCCAAGAGTCACAGGGAGGCCAGGTGTAAGGACATGATCAGGGTCAGAGGTGTGACCGGGGGGGGGGGCTCCCAGTCAGGCTGAGAGGCGTGCTTGTTGGGGTCCCGGTACTGGCCCTTGACCCTGGTGGACATCTTCCTGCATGAGGGGCTCACAGTGAAGATCGGTGACTTTGGCCTGGCCACAGTGAAGACACGGTGGAGCGGAGCCCAGCCCTTGGAGCAGCCCTCGGGTTCTGTGCTATGGATGGTGCGTTGGGCCAGGGTGGGCAGGGGGCATTAAGGATTGTGGGCTGCTGTGCTGAGACTTGGTAAGCTGAGGGTGTGGGACTGCCTGTGTCAGGTATGCCTGGACTGCTCATATTTTGCCTCTTGTGGGTGGCTCTGAGTTGCGCTCAGGATGGCCAGTGGGCTGAGATGACGGACTAGCCATTTGTGACTACTGCTGTCTCCCTATCCCGTGTGACCTATTGAAGGCGGCTGAGGTGATACGTATGCAAGACCCGAACCCCTACAGCTTCCAGTCAGATGTCTACGCCTATGGGGTCGTGCTCTACGAACTCATGACTGGCTCCCTGCCTTACAGCCATATTGGCAGCCGTGATCAGGTGAGCCCCACACCTTACCTGCAGACTTTCCTCAGGTCTTCTCCTTTGCAATGTAGAAGCCGACTTCCCCCACAATCCCCACATTTTCTGGGCTGAAAACTCAGAGTTCCCACAAAGGTCAGAATCTCTTGAATTCCCTATACCCAAAGTTCTTCTAGGTCCCAAAACTCCCAGAGGAACTCTGGACCCCTTGGTATTTGCAGTCTTCTGGCCTGGCTGTGCAAAGTGCCCCAAGTCTCCAAAGCCTAGAATCTCATTTCTCCCAGAAAAAGACTCCCTTTATGTGTCCGGAATATTCATAGATACCTGCAAGCATTAGGCCTTTGGGCACCCAGCAGGTATCACACTATTCGAGGTCCCAGACTCACTTCTGGATTCAAGGCCTGCAGTCTCCCAGGCTTTCAGAAATCTAGGCTCCAGATGGTAACAGTCGTAGAGCCCTGAGCACTCAGCCCTATAGGACCCAGGAACCCACAGTCCTGTAGGCCCTAGACACGGACAGAAATTTAAACGCTTGATGGCCTGAACTTAGCTCCCTTCTGAACTAGAACTTCATGTTTCCTCCAGACTCGGTATTTTCCAGGCCTCAAAGTCCCCTAAACCCTCTAGAAACCTGTGGACCCATAATTCTCTGACACTAGACACCTACAGCCCTTTACTTTCCCCAACCTTAAATCCCTGTCCTAGCAGAGAATCCTTTCAAGTCCTCAGAGACCAGAATCCATGGATCCACAAGATGCATATAGTCTTCTAGACCTCAGTACCCAGAATACTCCAGTTACCAAAAAGGAGCCACCCAAGACTTTGAAGATCCAAAAATCCCTGGGCCTCCCAGCCCAGACCACTTCATTTCTGTCCCTCCTCCCCAGATAATCTTTATGGTGGGCCGAGGCTATCTGTCCCCGGACCTCAGCAAAATCTCCAGCAACTGCCCCAAGGCCATGCGGCGCCTGCTGTCTGACTGCCTCAAGTTCCAGCGGGAGGAGCGACCCCTCTTCCCTCAGGTGGGCTGGGGAGGGGGCCTGGATCCTCTGGGGAGGAGGCCTCTGAGATGAAGATTCCCAGGTGTGAATGTGGAGGACTGTGTATTCTAACTTCCAGGGCGGAGGGGAGGAGAGAGAGAGGAGCGTGCGTGTGTGTGTGTGTGTGTGTGTGTGTGTGTGTGTGTGTGTTCCTGGGGACACATTTGCATGTGTCATTGCCCCCATTGGGCTGGGGCTTGGGATGTTGGGATATTGGGAGGGCTCCAGACACCCCAGCTCACCTGCCCCTGCCCTCAGATCCTGGCCACGATTGAGCTGCTGCAGCGGTCACTCCCCAAGATTGAGAGGAGTGCCTCGGAACCCTCCTTGCACCGCACCCAGGCTGATGAGTTGCCTGCCTGCCTGCTCAGCGCAGCCCGCCTTGTGCCTTAGGCCCCGCCCCGGGCCACTAGGGAGCCAATCTCAGCCTGCTGCACCAAGGAGCCCTGCTCACCAGCCAATCAATGGCCGGTTTCTGCCCTGATACTGCCTCAGGATTCCCCCATCCCTACCCTGGGAGATGAGAGGGTACCCAATTGCTTTTCCAGTTTCTCTGGAATTGGGGGAGCCCCCTGAAACTGAGACCCCCCCTGCCTCCACAATTTGGTTTCCTCTTGCCTCTGGGGATACTTATAAATTTGGGAGCTCCTTCATCTCCAATGGCTGGGATTTGTGGCAGGGATTCCACACAGAACCTTTCTGGAATTTATGCCTGATGTGCCTTCCACTGGATTTTTGGGGTCCCCAGCACCCCATAGGATTTGGGGGGTCCCCGCTGTCTGCCCCATCATTCAAGGACTCCTCTCTTCACCAAGAAGCACAGAATTCTGCTGGGCCTTTGCTTGTTTATTTTGCTCCCCGACTCTTCTCATGGGGTTCAGAGCCGCTGAGGGATGGGGTGTGTCCAGGCAAGGAGTGGAGGGTTGGGGGTGGGGAGTGCGGACCACACAAACAGCGCCACTGCACGCATCACCACAGGCGGCACGATGAACGAGGACCACATATGCCAAGCACGGCACGAAAGGAGGCCACGTCAGTCACAGACACAGACATCACGGCAAAGGTGGGAAGTGGGGGATCACTGGCCTTCCATGTGCAAAGGACTTTGGGAGGATGGTTGGGATTTGCATATTTAAAGACAGCTGTCAAGAGGCAGGAAAGTGGGGTGGGGGTCCCTGGGAGAACTGAGGGGTCCTAGCAGTGGGAGGAGCTCCCAGTGTGTTGAGAGGGGTAGGGAGTTAGGAAGAGATCCTGTGGGTCTGGGTGGTGGCTTCTGAAGAGGTGGATCTTCAGAGGGGTGGGAGATCTGTGGAAAGGGGTGCATGGGTGAGGGTGTGGAGGATTTGGGGAGCCAGTGTGCTTGAGAGATCTGGGACCAGAATAGGAGTTTCCAGAGATCTGGGGGCTCCAGGAGGAAACTCAGTGGTGTTAGTGTCAGAATGGGTGGCCTGGTGTTTGGGAGCTTCCAGGAAGGAAATTCAGTTGGGATTTGGAGTGGGTCTTTAGGAATTTAGAGGTTCTAAAATAGAGAATGTAGGTCTTGATGTGACCAGGAGTGGGATGCTAAAGGACTTGGGAATTCCAAACGTTGAGAATTGGATTTAGGACCAGGAGTGAGGTTTCCCAAGGGACTTGGGCATTCTGAGGAGTGAGAAGAGGTAAACCAGGAGGACTTCTCAAGGGATTTGGAGATTCCAAAAGTGAGAAATGGATTCAGGGCCCAGAGAGGGTTTGCCCAGGGATTTGGGTGTTCTCAGAGTGGGGTGTCAGTCGGAGAAGAGGCTGGCGAAAGACTTCCTCAGGCTGCGGATGGTCTCAGCTTTCACCTCGTCCTGGCTAAGGCTGGGCCTGGGCGGGGCTGGCTCTGGAAGGTTGAAGGCATTGGTCAGAGACTGGGATTTGCTAGAGAGAGACAAGGTGGAGGCATGGGAGGAAGGGGGGGAAGAGGAAGGGAGGAAGGGGAGAGAAACACAATGTTACCCCAGGCCCGGCCCCAGCCCTGCCCCTCTGGTCCTGGGGCTGTGCCTCTGACCCTCCCACCCACAGGCATGGGACTGGACTCTGAGCGGTTCCCATACAGTGGGGGAACCCTGGATCAGGCTGGGAGAACTTGGATCCAGAGTGAAGATGCCTGGGTCTGAAGGGAAGAGTTCTGGACTGATCTCATCAGCCTCTAGGCTAGACTGGGAGGAGTCTGATAAAGAAGGTGAAGATGAGCTGTCTAGAAGGGAGGCCTGGGGGCACATCTAAGGGAGCACTGTTGGGAGGGGCAGGAAAGACAGCTAAGGTGGGTGAAGGTCTGGAATAGACCAGAAGAGGTGATGGTGTGATGATTTGGGAGGAGGCTGAGCTGCACCACAAAGGAACCTAGACCAAGAATAGGATGAGGGCTGGGAAGAGTGTGAGGTGACAAAGGAGGGCTGTTAATTGGGCCAGGAGTCAGGTTGGGCTGGGGGAGGCTGCATCTAGTAGGGAAGGCTCTGGGATGGGCAGAGGCGGCTTTGGTGGGCAGGCAGATGCTCAAGGAGGGCCCGGGATGCCTGGTCTGAGAGCAGGAGACTTCCCCAGGGCCTAGTGAGAGGAATCCAGACTGATTTCCCTGGGACTCTGGCGTGGAATCTTGGGTGGAAGGAGAAGGGCCCTGGATGGAGGGGGGCCCCTCTGGACTGGGACAGATCTTAGCTTGGGGAAGAGAAGATTCTGACTCAGACTGGAGAGCCCTCCCTCGACCCCCAGACTGTGGAACCTGACACTTGAGGCTGCCTTCCTGGTGCAGGAGCCTGCTTTGTGAGCAGCTAGGAGAGGGCTGCTGTGGAGTCCCCTTACTTGAGCTGGGGGTGCGGGGGTCCCCCGGCAGCGGCGGTGGCAGGTGGCGGCACATCCTGGCTGGGTTTCTGGGCCAGTTGTGGCTTGGTGGGACGTCCAGCGGGGCCTGGGCCACTGGGCCGCGGCTGCTGCGTGGTGGGTGGCCCAGTGCGGGGCATGGGACCCGCCTGGCTAGCCTGACGAGTGGGGCCGGCAGGACCAGGGGGTTTCTGGGGCGGGCCCTGGCGCTGCTGGCCACCAGGTGGCGCTCCTGAGGCCTTTGGCGGAGCCTGACCAGAGACTGACGTCTGGCGTGTAGCCTGTGGGGGGCCAGCCTGGCGCTGGGGTGATGGGGAAGCTGGCGGGCGGGCTGCAGGAGGTGCCCCGGGTCCTCCCGCCACTGGCCGGGATTGGCGGCCTTGACCCTGGGTCAGCTGTGGGGCCTGGGATGCAGGCTGCTGGGGCGCTGATGTGGGACTTGGTAGTCGCTGGGGCAGGGGGCTGCCAGCTGGGGGTCCAAGACCGGAAAGGTGCTGCTGGCCCTGTGGGGGCGGGCGCTGCTGCAACGGAGGTCCTTGGCGTTGGGGTCCTGGGCCAGGCTGTGGAGGGCCGCCTGAGGGACAGAGTGCACACACACAACACGTGTGAGAGAGCAACTGAACCGGGGGGGGGGCTGCTGGGAAGGCGGGGCCAAGGAAACCAGCCCCTCACTTACCCTGTGGAGGGGGTCGCTGCTGAGCCGGGGGCCCAGCAGACTGCTGGGAGGTCTGGCGGCCCAAGGGCAGGGCCCCGGGGGAAGGAGTCTGTAGCAGAGGAGGGGGCAGGAGAGGTTAAAAATAGTTACCAGCTGGAGCGCCAGCCAATCCGAGTGGCAGGGTGTTGCCATATTTGTGGCTTGAGCTGAGGGGACTTCAAGGGGTGGGGACCAGTTCCCAGGGTAGGGATGGGGAGGCACTCAGGGGAGTCAGGGTAGCAACTACTTTTTTTTTTTTTTAAAGCAATTGGTAATTGCCTTCACTTGGGCGATGGTGAGGCTTGGCTGCTGATCAGTTCTGATACAGCCTGGCCAAGGGCTGCTCTTCTGCCACGGCCCCTCCCCCGGGGCCCACTGCCAGGGGCCTGACCTGGCTGTGAGAGCCCCTGCCGGGGGACGCATCCCGCTGCTGCTGCCGCTGCCTGGGCAGAGCCTGGGCCATCTTGTTGATCACGAGCTCTACAATGAGCTGCTTGTCTTCATCCTGGTGGTCACCGATGAGCGGCATGGAGGAGCCCACCACCTAGGGGCGGACAAGGGAGCCATTTAGGAGAGAGGCAGAGAGAACATGTGATGGTGACAGTAGCCAAATGTTTTAAGTTGGCCAAAGGCATGGCAGCCGCAGCAGTGATGAGCTGACATCTGAGAGGGTGGTTTTTGCACTGGGAAGAAGGCCGGCCTTTTGCAAGATACCTGACGGTCTCAAGCAAGGCTAGACATGAGGGTCCTGCACCAAACCCAGCCTCCGCTCCTCTTTACATGGCCCTAACTAAGGATGAGTTGTATGCTTTTTGATGGTTGAAAGAAAACAGGAGACTTCATGATACTCGAGATGTGCATGAAATTTAAATCCCCCGTCCATCAACAAGGGTTTTCTAGTAACAGCCGCGCTTATTTCCATGTTGTCTGTGGCTGCGCTGGGGGAGTTGAATGGTGGCAACAGAAACTGTCTGGCTCGCCCAGTTGTAAATAAAATGTGTGCTGTCAGACCCTTGACAGAAAACGTGTCTCCAACCCCATGTATAGCTTGCTAGATGCTTTATCCTTTACAAAGAACTTTGTGGCTTCACATGTATTTTACAAAGCCCTTACAAAGGGCTGTGGGACATATGGTGTGTTTAGACTTAGAACGCGTTTTCAAGGGGTGCCTTTGTTTACAGAATGGCTTACCATGGATAAAGCAGTCCGATTTAAAGCAGTCTGGATTTTCAAGGCATTTTACAGCTGATAAACTGCTTACTATTTACCAGGGGCAACACTGTTTACAAAGAACTTTAGGATGTTGAAAGCACTTTACTTCCATAACAAAGGACTTCCCAGTTTAGTGTTCCGTTTTCAGTGTTTTAAAGCCCTTTGCTCATCACCGAACACCACCTAATTTATAAGGTACTTTACAATTTACAGAGTGCTTTAGTACCAGTCACCACTCTTTATTAAGATGTACTGCATAGTTTATAAAGTGCTTTGCCATTCACCAAGGCATCTCAGTTCACAGAGCACTTTATAAAGTATTTTGCCAGGGCTGTCCCAGTGCACCAGGCACTTTACAGTTTACTACATACCTTGCCACTTGCCAAGAACCTTCTGGGCCAGAGGTTCTTCTGAGGAGAGTGCGTGACAGTTTACAGAGCATTATTGCCAGGCGCCTGCTCCTCCCTCTGCCCCCACCACCCCCTGGTGTACCCACCTCAATGATGTGGTCCCTTCCGTCTTTGCCATGCAATGCTTCCACTGCGCAGATGTCCAGTCCCCCAAAAATCTCTGAGCACGTGTCCACCCACAGCTTGTACCTGCCGGGACGTGGACCGGGAGAGCTGTCAGTTCCTGGCCTGGGTGGCCACCCCTCATCCTCACTTCCCCACCCAACCTGAGTTCAGGCTGCCCACCTGTCAGACATCGCAATCTGCTCCAGCATCGCAGAGCCCGTGTTAGTCTTCCAGTTCCCGGACACTGACGTCCTCCTGGGGGACCAGAGAGAGGCTCAGGGGGCGTGGCCTGCATAGGACAGGGCCCCCCTCCTGGCTTTGTTCTCTTCACTCACATGTAGGCCTTGTAGTTCTGCCCAATCTTCTGGACACGCACATCATATTTGGCATCAATG